GGGAAAAAAGAAGAGAAGATGACGCTTCGGGAGCAAATTTTTTGTGTGCTTCGCACTTGTATCGGGGCATACACCGGCATCTCCAAAGTCCGCGAAGGCCTCCAGACGCGCCCTTCGCTGCGTACGAACCGCACAAGCCGCCGCAGCCGCGCCGACGCCCTGCTGAGGGTGCGCCGAGCATTCATGGAAAGGACACCCCGGCCGCCCACAGCTCCGTCGGCGCTCGCAAGGGCCTAACTGAGCACGGCGGTCTGCCACGGAGGGTTTTCCAGGCACGTCAATCAGGGTCAATAAGCCTTAGAGACATATTGTTAAGCGGTGCCCGGCTGAGGCACAGAAGATCTCAGGGACAAATTTGTAATTGTAAGCTATAGAATAATTTTTGTCCACTCTTCTTTAGTTGTAAGTTTCTTCTTATTTCTAATTTTTATTTTTATTTTATTCCAATTTTCTTTTCATCGATGTAGATTCCCTGGTACAGCCCTGTCCAGGAATAAACGTTGCTCCTTTTACCAGTAATGCAAATTGTTAAATTTTGAATGCCCATGCATGTTTAGCTTACAATGCTTCCATCATGAATCTTAGTCAGGAAATCTGTTAAAATTGGCTAGTTTCACCAACGAGTAAATTGTTACAATTGCGCTAGTTTTTATACGGTAAGGGAGTAGGACGACTGAGCTAGACGGACGCTAACCGGGTTTCCCTACGCGGGAGGTTGTTACTATATTATACGGGGGCTGCGCGCGTGACGCCGTATGTTTTGATACTGATTTTTAAAACTGAAATTATAATTATTTTACCTAAATTTTACCTAATTTAATTTTTATTAATCATTACTTTTATTTACATAACAACTAAGCGATGAACAATATTTTTCGTTAATCTATCTTTCGTCAAAATAAATAAATAAATTCTGTGTGAAATATACACGCTGACCATTTTCAAGATGCACTGCAAGACTGCTGTACGGGTGGATCTCGATCGTGGATGGAAAAACTAAAAATACGCCAGATAGCTTCGTTACTGCTGATGTATCTGCTCATTTGATATTGTGTTATTTCATCATTTTTATTAATATCTCGCACTTCAAACATAGCTAAATCACAGCCTTTATTTACGTATTTACAAATGTATTTTATGTATTTGACGGAATTGCAAAACTCAACATTAATATGGGCCTTATATGTTTTTGAAAGCAATGGTGAATAGGGAATCAATTTCTAGTTGATTAAAATTTGATGTGCGCATTGTGAACACATTGCTACTGTTGTCGGCGTTTCTACGGCGATACAGTTGATAACCGTCAATATTCGTAATTGTATAATTGATTCATTCTTTCGGAAAACGCTTCTTACATTTGCCATTTTCCATGCATGGTGATATGTTAAAACTACCACATGGTACATGGATCATGTGACTGGTAACAATTTCAAACAATTCTAGGTCGATTGGATGGATCCGGAATTTCAGCGGAAATGATTAGATCAATTTCTTCCGGGCGTATTTTAGTTTCGAGACAAATAAAAATGTGAGAATGAGGCAAACCTCTTTTTTGCTATTCAACCGAATACAACCAACAAATTGTCGTTCCAAAAACCGAAAAATTCACGATAAATTCACGATAAAGGACTTTAATTTTCGCTTAAACACACGTGCGACGATATCATGACGATGTATTGATTGTTGGTCTGGTAACAGAAAGGTTTGTATTTCCTCCCAATTTGGATTTCATGTAAATGTAATAAATAAATCGGGACGGCCATAATGACATACGTAGGTCATCGCAGCTTGGATGTACTCTTGCATGTTCCGTGGACTGCCAATGTAGCTAGAGGGTAAAATAAATGCATTACCAATGTTGTTGACATTTTCATCGTTGTTTCCTATAATAGCATCCCGTAACTGAATATAATCCTCTGACCATAGCTTAACTTTATTGAAACGAAGGTATCGCAAACGTTTACTCTCGATCTTAGCATATATGTCTACGACATATTGGTGGTAGAGCTGACGGTATCGAAGAATATAATTGTCCTGATTATCTCATATCATCATCCGGTACGCGTAGTAACACATTGAGCTGACCTTTTTATTCGTTTCATTACCTGCAAAATTAAGAAATAAATTGAAATTAAGATTGTGGTATGTTAAAAAAGTAACACTAATAAATTTAAAAAAAATAATCCCTACCAGTTGCTGTATTAACCTGATTCATGTTAATGTGATATCCATCTTGACCCAGCCAGAATAGCAGTGGATATTGTAGTGCATCGTACGAACGATGTAAGTCTGACATCACATGAACAGTGCTGTCACGATGTGTTATTTTGATAGCTCTGTTATCAACTGGGACACCGACCGTGATAATAACAATTTCTTCTACGGTTGGCGCGTTGAACCTGCCAGCGTGTTCTCCCGATGGTGTTTTGTCAGCTCTGATGACAATTTGTAAGTTGTCATTTTGTAATTGTGGTGACACTCTTTTAAATAATTGAATAAGTTGGTTATGATTTTTTAAAAAAATTTCCAAGAACTCTACAATAGATCTTTGTACTGCTTGTTTGATAAAATTATATAGACTTCTAGTTGTCAGTCGTTCTTTAAAACTGACCATAAAATAAATTTGAAGAAATTTTGGCTCTTCGTTAGGTATTGGCATCAACGACCCAATTTTATGGTACACGTGACCTTGTATTTTAAATGTACTTTCAAAATTACGTCCATCGGATGATAAATCGCAAATTTTAGTAGCAGCAAATCGCATCATTTGGAAGCAAGAATTGAATTTGCATGTCATACGTAAGAATAGTTTTGAACCATCTGATTCACTAGCGAGAAGTGACTGTAGGGCCCCGGTGGACTAAGAAGAGGTAACAAAACCACTTTTCCTCATGAACAACACATGCCCGATGGTACATTTTGCAATTTCAAAGCCTGACAGTATCTGCATATTTGATCCATTGAACCGATAGCGAACTTTGAATGCGCAGAATAATTGATGTCTGGAGAATACTCGAACGCAAGGCGAAAAGAAGACGTAAGCGTTAATGCGCGACTGGTTTGCTGTCTCTCTTGATCCTGTGCTCGATATCTGGATAAATGTTGTTCACGCGCCGCTCTTGACCTTTCTCTTTGTAACCGCAGGCGTTCATCACGATGTTCGCTTGCCTCTCGCATACGACTTTCTGCTGCTCTATGCCTTTCAGTGGCGTTTGCTGTAATGGTTTGATTTGTTCACATGAAGGCTCTCTCAGTACGTTTACGTCGTACCTCATGGCTACTGGCATTATTGAGGTTAGATTTTTTTGTAGGCATATCACTCAAAGTGTTAATTAAAATAATAATATACAATTAAAATAAAATCGGTATATAATTGTCAATAACAAAAGAAAACATTCACTTTAAAATACAAATTCAAGCGATCGTTAAATTTTATACACTGTTTTATCATGCATTGACAAATTTGAATATAAATTATAATAATTTTTTTGCACAGAAAGATTGATATTCAATTATTTTTCAATCGCCTTAATTAGTAATACAAAACATGGATAACTAATTAAAAATATATTTGTTACTTTGATAAAGAACAATTATTAAATGACATATAAAAAAATTCCTAGTAATAATGTATGTCAAAATAACATTTGTTGAATCAGTTAGTACAGTATTATAATATAAATATGTGATATGATAATACTTACATATATTTATTTTGATAAGAAAGTTATAAACAATAAAGCATCAATTTTTTTAAAGTAAGAATAATTTCACCGCATTTCATTTACTATAATCAAAATTTTTCTTATACTTTGGACTAAGCAACACCTGGTCGGTTATATTAATGATTTTAGATTATTAATTAAAGTGATAGTACTTTTAACATAGTGCAATCTGTTGGATACTCAATTCAGTCAACTGGCTACCTTATACCGTCATCTGTTAGAATCTTACCGAACTATGTCTCTTTGTTAGATAAAAAACAATTAATTCGCAATAAATAAAATTGCAATCTCAAATTCGAAAAATGAACTATCCTGTCTCTTAAATTGGAGAAAAGCACACATTAAAAAAACATTAAAATCGGTTCAGTAGTTTCGGAGTTCATCCCGGACAAACATCGTGACACTGGAATTATGTATAATAGGCGGCTTAAAACCTTATGAAAATCATGAGATTGTTTTGTAACACGATTTGAAAAACGTATTTGTTGAGCTATAATAAAATTGTCTA